TTTCGTGCAATATGCTTTGGAGTTACATTCTGGAAAAGCTTGCTACTTGTATTTCTTTTCTTCCCTTTTAGGGAAACTGAAGATGGCCTTTTCGATCATGCTCCTATTGGTTGCTGGCAGCTTTTTTCAATTTTATTTTAATAATTTTAAGATTTGCTTAAAAAATAAAATAATTCGCATACGTTTTATGTTAACGAAAAATTTATACGATTCACAGTAAAACACAGATTAAGAATATGTCAATTATTATGAATATTGACGATTTTGTACAATTTTGGCCAAGTTAGTTTGTAATTTATTAGGTTCATTTATAGAAAACTGTCTCCCCTTTTACGTTACATTTTTTACTATTTAAGTATACATACTCTCAAAAATCAACAAACTGTAAAATTAGATATAAAATATTGGTAAAACTGGAGTTTGAGAAAAAAAATTTCTACAAACTCTTTGTTACACTTATTCTTTATATAATATCATATTAGTAATACCATATTCTTCACTTATGACTTAAAAGTGATACCAAATCATTTAAAAATTATTTGTAATTTTTAATTCAAATTGTTGCTGCAGTCCATATTATCCGAGATACTGTACAGTACCATAACTCCGTGTTAACTGGGATAATCGGGGTTTATTCTATTTGAAAATCACTTATTAACATTTTACTTTCGATCGAATGTAGATAGGAAAGTTTAGATTGAGTTTAAAACGAATTATATTCGTCCATAGTATTTTATATTTAATGCGGCTTTTTTTCTTATCGCAAGGCAAATTAACGCAAAATTTCTATACAAGAGATTATTGTAAATACAGTATTTTACAGCCGTAAGGATTATGAAATATCCTATGAATTTTTACTATGTGTTTCTGTTACTGTATTTAGTTACATTGGTGGAGACCCGTAAAATTTACATTCAATAATCGTTAGCGTTTCGTATATCTTTAAATGGGATGGATGATGACACCTTCTCGTGGTATATCCTCACGTTAGCGTATTTTCATACACGAAACTAATGTCTTCCTGGCGACCAAACTTTTGTCTTTGTAGGACTTTTAGTCTTATCTATCACATAAAACTTAATTTTATTTTAAAACAATCTTGTTTTTTAGATATTTACATTGCTTACGGTATTAAAAATTCCTGGAATATTTCAATAATAAAACATTTTGGAAAATAACATTGATTGGTTGTTAAACAAACTACATTTAGCTTTATTTGATAGTTTGAAAGTATCTATTTGTTCTTAAAATAACGTATATTACATCTTCAAAGTATTGGTATTTATTTAAATAATAAAGATCGTAAAATATGAAGCACGTTCAGCACGACTAACAAATCTGTTTCTTAGAAATACCATGTAATAAGCATCGTAAAATACCCGAAAACGATCAAAAAGTGTATTTTATTCTCAAATAGAAAACAGTTTTTACTTTCTAATTGAAAGTAGATTTGAAAAACAAATCTGNTATCCTCACGTTAGCGTATTTTCATACACGAAACTAATGTCTTCCTGGCGACCAAACTTTTGTCTTTGTAGGACTTTTAGTCTTATCTATCACATGAAACTTAATTTTATTTTAAAACAATTCCGTTTTTTAGATATTTACATCGCTTTCGGTATTAAAAATTTCTGTAATATTTCAATAATAAAACATTTTTGAAAATAACATTGATTGGTTGTTAAACAAACTACATTTAGCTTTATTTGATAGTTTGAAAGTATCTCTTTGTTCTTAAAATAACGTATATTATTGTATATCTTAAAGTATTGGTATTTATTTAAATAATAAAGATCGTATATAATATGAAGCACGATCAGCACGACTAACAAATCTGTTTCTTAGAAATACCATGTAATAAGCATCGTAAAATACTCGAAAACGATCAAAAAGTGTATTTTATTCTCAAATAGAAAACAGTTTTTACTTTCTAATTGAAAGTAGATTTGAAAAACAAATCTGCTTCATCTGTTTGCACATTGTGATAAAATTTTCATTAATTTGTTTATATAAAAAAATAAATCAAATTTAATCATTTGTGCAGTATATATAGATACAATATATTGTATGAAATCTACTGTTGAACAGAGAGAATTTAATTTTGTTAAATATTTTTAATTTTAATTTTCTTTTTTATCACATGAAGAAAGCAATGACACCAGCTTGGTGTCATTGCTTTCTGCATGTTCTTTCTCTGACAGGACTTTAAATTTTAACCATGAATATATGCATAATAAAATGCTATGTGAAAGAATTATTTTGTAAAATGCGAAACTTGAAAGCTTCTCAGAAATAACCAGATCTCGTAATTCTTGTCATTAGTTGCCAGTTTTACAAGATGCATATGTAACTTGGAGGTCGATGGACTCAAAAAAATATATTTGTTATACTTATTGTAATAAATCAACTTCCTGTAATTTTTATGCCATGACGAATTTCTATATCATTTTTATTGAAATTAAAATTAATTGTCTTTCTTATTACATTTTAAAAAAGATATTATTAAATTATTGTTTTTAATAAATAATATTTCATACTACTCTTCAAAATATTTAAACACACAATTCAAAAATATTAATACCTATTTCGACTATTATAAATTTAATACTTATTTAAACTCGAAAGTTAGAGTAACAATATTAAATGCATAATTTGATTGAAAAGTAAATATCATGTTCATTATAAAACTATATTTAAAAACAAAAGAGGAGAAAAAAATTAACCAAAGTCAAAGTTTGAATAAAAACTTGGTCAGCGACCTGAAAACGACTTTTCAGTCCAGATGACCAGTAATAATAAGGAGATATTCCAGCAGCCAATGACCTTGCAACCTGTACACAAACAGCTTCGCCAATGTTGATTTGTTTATAATAACCAATGTCAATCTGATACATTGTGATTCTGAAACAATACATAATAAATAAAAAATTAACTCGTGCTCCAAAAGTTTACGAGAATATTTTAAACTAAGCATTTTCATCTGTATCATTGAACATACATTTATCTTGTTTAAAAAATTAATGATCACTTTCATTCTTAAACATGAAAATATTTACTTNATTAATACAACTTACAGGATATGCAATTGAAACGTGAAAGTTTCTTAGAAGATGGATCGATGATGCACAAATCCAAATTTGTTAGTAATTCATTTTTTTGTACTTTGTGGGAAATGCCGGTTTTTTCATTAAGCCCCTCAATTTATACCTGCTTAATCTATAAAATTTTATCAAAATATCTGAAATTTCACCATCTGTTACTTATTTCAAGGATAAAATTCGACACAGATAGACAAATGACACGTGTTTAGAAAGTTTTGATAAAAATCCATAAAATATTCTTTGTCTAATATTCTGAGAAAAATAATATTTGTTCTTTGCTTTAAAAATTTTTAAGCGTCGTTTAATATATTACTGTGTAAAGTAGTGTAAATTAACGCTATTAAGATCGCTAAAATAGCCACTACATGCAAATTCTGGAATACGGTATAAATTTTACTGTTTATTTTTTGCTATTGTATTAAATTTTAATGAAACATTTCAAAAAATACAACTGAAATAATTATTGCGGTTGTTATTGTTAGCAGTCAAAAGTCATCAAAACCTAATTTTTGTGGGCTATAATGGCTAACATCCATTTAGAAATCCGATTACTAACATCAAATTTCTAAATGGAATTGTTCGATTACTAACNACAATATATTGTATGAAATCTACTGTTGAACAGAGAGAATTTAATTTTGTTAAATATTTTTAATTTTAATTTTCTTTTTTATCACATGAAGAAAGCAATGACACCAGCTTGGTGTCATTGCTTTCTGCATGTTCTTTCTCTGACAGGACTTTAAATTTTAACCATGAATATATGCATAATAAAATGCTATGTGAAAGAATTATTTTGTAAAATGCGAAACTTGAAAGCTTCTCAGAAATAACCAGATCTCGTAATTCTTGTCATTAGTTGCCAGTTTTACAAGATGCATATGTAACTTGGAGGTCGATGGACTCAAAAAAATATATTTGTTATACTTATTGTAATAAATCAACTTCCTGTAATTTTTATGCCATGACGAATTTCTATATCATTTTTATTGAAATTAAAATTAATTGTCTTTCTTATTACATTTTAAAAAAGATATTATTAAATTATTGTTTTTAATAAATAATATTTCATACTACTCTTCAAAATATTTAAACACACAATTCAAAAATATTAATACCTATTTCGACTATTATAAATTTAATACTTATTTAAACTCGAAAGTTAGAGTAACAATATTAAATGCATAATTTGATTGAAAAGTAAATATCATGTTCATTATAAAACTATATTTAAAAACAAAAGAGGAGAAAAAAATTAACCAAAGTCAAAGTTTGAATAAAAACTTGGTCAGCGACCTGAAAACGACTTTTCAGTCCAGATGACCAGTAATAATAAGGAGATATTCCAGCAGCCAATGACCTTGCAACCTGTACACAAACAGCTTCGCCAATGTTGATTTGTTTATAATAACCAATGTCAATCTGATACATTGTGATTCTGAAACAATACATAATAAATAAAAAATTAACTCGTGCTCCAAAAGTTTACGAGAATATTTTAAACTAAGCATTTTCATCTGTATCATTGAACATACATTTATCTTGTTTAAAAAATTAATGATCACTTTCATTCTTAAACATGAAAATATTTACTTCTTTACTATAAAATTGTTATCATTTGATTATAAGTACGTAAGTGAATATCTACTACTATCCTGTATTATTATTTTACAAGAAATTACTAAGACTAGAAATTAGGTGTGACTTTCATTCGATATTTCAACTGGGAGAAAAGGTCAAAGTCATTTTTACTTCCGGGAATGTTGCGGTCACGGTCGTTATTTACTTCCGGTGAAGATGAGAAGTAAGAAAGAAAAAATTAACATAGAGCACGTTTACCTCTTATCCTGTTTAAACTCTAGTCAGACCTGTCTCTATAAAATAGCTTCCACTCCGCATCTCCGCTAATATTGTGTATGCCTTGATAAATACTTCGGTGAGGAGTGGAAGAAAGAATTTGTAAGTAAAGCAATTTATGTATATAAAACCTATATAATTTTGATAATTGTGAACAATCGTTTACACTTTACTGACTCAGTTTATAACTTAATATTTTATATATATTTCTTATATTTTTATATTATGATTACAATTCGTATTTCTTATGAAAATTTTTGTATATTCAGATTAGTTAAAATGAATATAAGATTGTTGATTACTTTCTTTGGGACGATACTTTTATTGCCAGAATGCAGACTTACTCCCATTATGGGCGATAATCGATTTTATTCTGCTTGTAAGTAATCTCTTTAATTTTTCTTTTCATAAACTTAGGAAAGAAACTTATAGAAAAAATATCACTTTTTAGCATTACATAAGTATAAAGTTGTCTGTTATCTCGGAAGTTGGGCCAATTATAGACCGGGATTAGGAAAATTTACTATTGAGGATATTGATCCTCACATATGTACTCATCTTATTTTTGGTTTCGCCGGATTGGGTTTTGATAATCGAATTAGAAGTCTGGATCCTTATCTTGATCTAAAAGAGAATTATGGAAAAGGTAATTAATGTCATTTAAGATAGCTATATTATTAAATACAGATAATTGATTATGCTGACTTTTTAAAACTATTTTCTTGATTTTATTTCAATGTAGGAGCCTTTCAGCGATTTACAGGTTTAAAACAACATAACCCCGAATTAAAAACGCTCCTCGCTATTGGCGGATGGAATGAGGGCTCAGTTAAGTATTCCAAAATGGCTTCAGATAGTTCCACCAGGAAGATTTTTATCGACAGTTGTGTACAACTCCTCAAGAAATACGATTTTGACGGTTTAGATCTTGATTGGGAATATCCTGCTAACAGAGGAGGAAAACCGGAAGATAAAGCCAATTTCGTAGCATTGTTAAGAGTAAGATTTGATTTTGAAAATTTTATAATTTTAATAAAATTAATTAGAATGTTATTTATGTAAACTTATAAATTAAAATATTTATATAAATAATCTATTAATTATATTTTATAAATAAATTTTATGTTTTTATAGTTTGATCATTTAATTTTATATTAAAAAAGATTATTTAACAAAATCAAAGAATAAAATAATTCATCGAGTTAAAACAATGAGAAAACATTTAAATTAATGTTTACTCAATGTTTCGATTATTATTATTTTACTGCAGGAAATGAAACAAGAATTTAATAAGCATGGTTTGCTACTTACGGCAGCTGTTAGTGCAGGAAAACATACTATAGATAGTGCTTATGATATACCTCAAGTATCTCAGTAAGTTTCACTTCAATATATTAATTATTGGGAAGTTAAGCGGTGAATGCAAATTATTTTACTAAGCATATTAAATAATATTTTAAAGGTATTTAGATCTCATTAATATTATGTGCTACGATTATCATGGCGGATGGGAAACATTCACTGGCCACCACGCTGGTTTATACGCAAGACCTGATGAAACCCCTGGAAATAGTACTCTTAATCTGGTATGTAACTATACTTAATTTCTAAAAATAAAAAAAAGTTTAATAATATTACAAACTTTTTTCTGTTAACAATGTTTTAATAATTATGAATAGAATTTTTCCGTTAATTATTGGATATCTCATGGAGCACCACGTGAGAAAATTATTTTGGGGATGGGTCTTTACGGAAGATCTTTTACTTTAAGAAGAGCAGAAAATAATGGTTTATTTCAAGATGCTCCTCAAAGAGGTCCAGCTGGCCCCTATACGAGAGAATCTGGCTCTTTGGGATATAATGAGGTAAATTGAGATATTGGTTTTTGAATGTTTTTATTCGAATTAAGTATAACTATATATTAATAAAATTTCTTCGAAGATTTGTGAAAAACAACAAAGAGAAAAATGGACTGTAGTTCGTGATCCTTACTACATGGCTCCTTATGCATTTCGTGAACGGGAATGGGTTGGTTATGACGACATTGAAAGTATCACGTTGAAGGTATATTTAAACTATACATTTGATTTACAATGTAAAAGTATTGTGAAACTTTTTAAATATTTAAGCCAAATTTAATTTACGTTAATGCCATCGCTGATAAGAAATTTTCTCTTCTTTCAAGGTTGAATATGCCAAAAATATGAAACTTGGAGGGGGAATGGTTTGGTCTATAGAAACTGATGATTTCCAAGGACTATGTCATGGGCAAAAATACCCTTTATTAACAGCTATTAACAAAGCTTTTGAAAGAGAAACGCAACCGATGCCACTACCACCGACAACACAACCACCAACTTCTACTGTTCCTATGGATACTTCTACTACAACTGATAAACCATCTTCAAGCACTACTGAAAAACCCTCCTCTAGTACTACTGAAAAACCATCCACTAGTACTACAGTAATGTCTTCAACAAGTACTACTGAAATGCCTTCCACAAGTACTACAGTAAAACCAGATACTTTTGATGGTGTAAATTTTACATGCAGATCTGAAGGCTTACATGCGGATCCAGTATTATGTAATGTTTTCTATTCGTGCGTAGGTATTGGAAACGGCAATTTTACAGTATATAAATTTGTATGTCCATCCGCAACTGTTTTCTCAACGGCATCCAAGACATGTGTCTTTCCAGCGGAGGGTAGTCCCAAATGTAGACTTTACATTTTGCAAAAATATGCATTTTTAAGACCTTATTACGAAACATAATTTATCTAAAAAAAGAAATCTTTCAAATGAAACGTAAATTCGAATATGGTCTCTTTATTGGTTTCGTGGTTTGTTTCATAAAATCGAAATAATTTATGCTTTGATTACACAAGTAATTTAATTTAATATTTATGTTTTTAATATTATTACATGTAACATTATTCAAAAGCTTAAAAATATTTTTGTATTTTTTTAAAATAAACTTTAATGAATTAATAATTATTTTCATTTCAACAATAAATAAAACAGTCTTATAACAATAATTCTTTCCTGTATATACAATAAAACAATGTTACAAATTTGTTTAATATTCTTATTAATTTTTCCGCTGTGGTCAGAACGTATAAAAAATTATCAGAGTCGCTATAACATTTGGCAAAAAGATGAATCGAATTGCTTTTTAATAGACTGAAACAATCACAAAATGAAAATATGAAAGAACACTATAATCAGGACACATCGATCGTAAAATTGACAGAAAATAAACTAACAAAAAATAATATAACAATTTCGTTAACAGAGACAAAGGAGTTTGACAAATGGTTATTCCGGGATAAAATGCGTAACAAATTTCGTAGTAAATATTTCTTTAATAAAATACACGAAAAATATATTCCATAAAGAAAATATGAAGAAAAATTGGTTTGTTTTAAGTTAAAATATAAAATTTTTAACAATTTTTGTAATTTATCAATCGTTATTATTTATTAAGTAAGAAAATCTTTTGTTATATAATAATATAGACTAAATGAAAGAAATTTTTCTAAAGGATGCAGACGTAAAAGATCTCTATTTACCATAAAGAAAAACGAGAAAAAATTTCAAAAATATTCTGAAAGTTTAAAATAATGGAACTTCTCATTCTCATTGCGTTAACACATATGGTTCTTATGAATGTTTCTGTGATTTTGATTTCATTAAACAGACGGGTGATTGTATTCGTAAGTGGTTAATATTTATGTGAAAATCTTGACTTTAATTATATATTCTAAAATCATGTATAATTTTATTTAGCTATAGTGACTCGTAAAGAAAATCCTTGCCATAATGGTGCTTTTTGTTATGATAGAAGTGATGGATTTGAATGGCACTGTAAACTCGACATTGGTAAGGACATATTGAATTATTATTATGTAAAAGCAAAGAATCATTATAGAATTATTTTTCTATTTCATTATTAACATTCTGTCAATTGTACTTTCTGTATTTACATAATTCTTAAGTTGGAAATTAAATTATACATGTTACTCAATTTGAACTTATTCTCTATTAATATTAATTTTGCATGTTGATATTTTTGACACGTTTCTCTACGAGTGTTTCTACGCTTCATAATTGAACAGATAAAAAGAAATTTGATTATTAAATCTCCTAATCAGTTCTAATAATTTAATATTACTATGAATATTCAATCTTACTATAATATTTAAGCCTGTTATTAATTATAGTAAATACGATATTAAAAAATAAGAATATGTATATTTCGACTATCAGAATTTCTTACTACGCTTTCTTCTTTCGAAAATGTTTCATGTAATTATTATTATTTTAATATAGTACAGCGAAATTATAAATTATGCGTTTAGTTATGTTTAATGCTTAATTATTAATTAATTTAAATTTCGAATTAGAATGGATTGAAATGATGGGTTAAGGCAACATAACACATAAGCCATCTGCCAAGGGGGATCCTCCTGAGAAAACTTTCCATAGAAAACGGACCATGTTTAGGTGTTATACACGTGAAGAAAACCCAGAAAATTCCTTATGTCTAGCAATTTTATTTTTATTTTTTAATTTAATTATGCATATTTTAAATTATTTCATAACATTAACAATTCATTTTTCGCATTGGTTCCGTATTTTAATAACACAAATTCGAATTTAAAGAAAGAAATTTGAATTACCGTTTAGAAATCACGGAATCTCGTATTATGTTTGTTAGACTATATAACGCTTTTGATATTGAGTGAGTACTCATTTACATGTTTTAAAATGTTCTAGTTTTCTTTTCATATAAGTATACATATTTCAGGACAAAAATTTAGCCGCATTCACAATTAAGTGAATATATAAATACTTCTTCATTATATGTCTAGTCATACATATGCAAAAATAATTTAGAAAATAATGTTACAAACGTGTTTATTGCTCTTAGAATTTTTTGCGACATTGCCAATAGGCACCATGTGCCTACTGGCAATGTAATAAAATGAAAATAATATTTAATCAGATTAAACATTTGGTTAAATACCAACTTTGTAAAATAAATAATTATTTTTTAAACATTTTAAAATAAGTGAAATGGTTAGATCAGGCATGGCCAACATACGGCCCGCGGGCCAGATCCAGTCCGTGTAATAAATTTATGTGGCCTGCGATCAATCTTTCGATATTAGGTAGTAAAGTCCGAATAGCTCGATGAAAAATTCTGACGCCTAAAAAAAAAGAAAAAAAAGAGGTCAACAACTCAATGTGCGTTTAGAGTTAACCCTCCATTACAAATCTCTTAAGTACAGCGTAGACTGTTGATAAAGCATGATAATGTGAAAAATGTATCTATAATCTCTAGGTACAATTTAGTCTCTATGGGGTGACACCACAATGAGATCTCGCACCACCTCAAAATCTTCCTAGGGCAGCCTCTGGTTCGGCCCGTGGAAAAAGTTTTCTTTCCAATTCGGCC